GGCATAGCCCATAGCTTCTCTGAGTTGCTCAAGCCCCTTCGCCACGACAAGGCAGCAATCCATGAAGGGGTACAAGCTTGGTAGAGCAGGGCAAAACTGTAGATATATGTTGTATTCAGATTTCAGCAAGAGATTAACAAGGTTCTCATGATTTTCTTGTAGCTGATAAAATATGGGCTAAGCAGCGCTAGTTAGGTGAATTTGTAGCCAGCTTATAGATTCTACCAGCATAGTCACCAGTGCCTTCTTACCAACCCAGAGTGAAGTGATAACTGAGAAATCATAGGGTCCCGTTCTGAGACTAGCATTGTTTAACTTTGTTACAAATGACAAAGAGGTAGAAGGGATGGCAATCAAGTTTGTGATTGATACCAGATTGGGAGAATAGCTAGATGGAACACAGGATCAGGATTCATTATGAACTTAATGGAGTGGCGAACTGGAACAAAATGGAGAAAATGAATTAATAATTATTAACTAATGAATGAATTAAGTGTAAATGTAAACAAGCAACCTTGTTTTCTATGGCTCCAGAAGCCTCTGAAAATGTAAATGTAAAATTTACACTTACGTAGGTAGGAAACTTAGACATGAGTCAACAGTGCATTGTGATGGTGGGGAAAGCTAATGCAGTTATAGGTGGCATCTGTAACATTCAGCCCTGCCCTCACCTGTCCGTCACAGCTGGGCAGTGGAACAGCAGCCAATGAGGGGACGGAAGGTGGTGCTAAAGGGGGAGGAGCTAGGATATAAAGGGGTGTATGGTGTTTGAGAGTTCAGTTTTGGGAGATAGAGTTTGAGATGAGAGTTTGAGCTGAGGGTTTAAAGTGATGTTAGTTATAGTGAGTGAGAGAGCCTGTCAGTGTGAAATAGTCTGTGAGAGCCAGTGATTTATTTACAATGATTGACTTATTGATTCTTTACCAGTGATTTATTATTTATTTTTCTGTAATCAATAAACCAGTTTTTGTTTTCAAAGTTACACTTGTCATTTTATGATTTTTTTTTAAGGATAAGTTGGTGGCAGCAGAGTTTTAAAGTGAAGTAGCAACCACTCTTTGAGGTTTGAGGGTGGCTGTTACAGCATCAACAGAAGTGCAGTGACTAGACAAAGAGAAGTAATAATACAACTCTGTTCCACTTTGGTCAGACTACACTTGGAATACTGTGTCCAGTTTGGGGCACCACAGTTTAAGGATACCAGCAAGCTGGAATATGTTCATAGCTTGGCACCCATGATTTTAAAAAAAAAGCCAGGAAACCAAACCTTAAGAAGAATGATTAGTAGAGAGTTTAGTATATTTAGCCTGAAATGCAGAAGATTAAGGGGTAATATAATACATATATCTTCAAATGTCTGAAAGTCTGTCATGTAACTGATGGAGCAACCTTGTTTTCTATGGCTCCAGAAGCCACTGAAAATCCCCAAACAAGGGATTTAAACAACAGAAAGGATATATTGACTAAACATTAGGACCAACTTCCTGTTAAGCTATTTATTGATACAAGAGTATCAGTATGTGGGCATGTGGAATCTCTAAGCTGTGCCTTTTCTTGGCTTCATAAGAATATATTTAGGCCACAGATTGGAGTGTGTTAGGTTTTAATTAATGTTATTAATACATTAATTTATTAATAATGGCTGCTAACTCTTAATTATTTAATATTAATTGCATGTCATTGCATGCAAGTTGCATTTACCCTGAAATTAAAAAATTATTCAATTAGTGGCAATCTGATGTTGCCAGTGAGGTTAATCTCATTGTACAGATGGAGCTATGCATCAGGATATTGGTCACCGATAATTAGAAACATTAATTTCTTGTTAATATTGTGCTGAACTGAATTTAATTTATTGTGTTGAATGGAATTTAATTTATGGATATTAAATATTGAATAATTAATATTATGGTGAATAGAATTTAATTTGTGATGCATCGCAGATGCCAGAGGTGTTTAGTTGGGATGGTAGGCTCTGTAGTCCAATGCATCTGAAAGCTAACTGGTTGGTGAAGAATATACTGAATCATGCCATCTAATGATCAGTCCAATTAAGTTTTTGTCAATATTCTTTCTTCCACCCTTATGCTTCATTCATTCTTTAGACAATGTGCTTTGTCTGGATTGTAAAAAAAATGAGTAAGAAATTGTGCTCATTCTATTTAGAGAATACTGACCCACTGCAATATGTAAGCGCAACACTTGTGTGGCTACAAAAATAGGAGCCTGACGCCGAGGGAGGCCCGGAGAGAGAAGACAAGAAACCGGGCCTTCTCGGCGGTGGCTCCTCGCCTTTGGAACAATCTCCCTCCTGAGATTTGCGCGGCCCCTTCGCTGGGTACATTCAAAACTCAATTAAAAACATGGCTTTATGTCAAGGCCTTCCCTCCTGCCAGCATCTAATTTAATTTAAATTATTTCTCTCTTCCTTTTCTATTTATTATTTATGATTTATGTTCTGTTAATTGATATTTTGATATTTTGGATTTATGTTATTATAACTGTATATTTTTATGTTAGCTGCTCAGAGTGTTATCGATTTACCAGATGGGCGGGATACAAATCAAATCAATCAATCAATAAATAAGTTGGTGAATAAAAGGTTAAGAATTCTAAATCAGAAATATTTTGAGTGCCTCTGACCAGAGACAGAATATTCTTCTGTGCTACTGAGTAACTGCATCCTCTAGCCTCCCACACTATATAAGTCAACAAAACAACTTGTTATTTAGAATCAAGAAGTGTGATCTGCAAAGATCAATGCCACATCATATGATTTTCAGGCAGGTGTCAATGTTCTCATGTTTAGTCTTGGTCAACTCCAGTTTCTAACAACCCCAGGTACACTCAACCCATTCTTCTCAAGACAATCCACAAAACACAAGACCATGTATTCAGCAGATCACAGTGAATGCTAGTAAGCAACACATGTACCTGCTTATCTTAGTTGTGGGAAGAGGCATCTAATTAGCACACAACTGATGCTGTGACAACACTGGCCCTTTTGAAGAGGGCTAAACAGGGTTGCTTGAAGTTGGAGGGACCAGCAAAATGCCGTTTGGAGCCATGAGATCAGAACCAAATGGCATTCTGACCTTAGTCTAGCTCCGCATTGTCAATTTCCAATATTGTCAAATGGTTTATAAATGAGCTACTTCAGGATATCAGCAGATTGAACACTTCCCTGGTAGTGTGTAGGAACAGGGGAATTTAAGTTATTAATTTTTTTTTGCCTCTGCTAACCCACCCCCACAGCGCACTTAACAGCCAGACAAGTGCCCATCTGATGGAGCTCTAATTTAACTAGTGTAGTTACTTCTGTCAAGGTGGTTAAGTAATAATAAAAATAATACAAGGCAGAGCCACATTACTATCACCAGATACATTTATAAAATCAGAACAGATAAAATGTTTATTTTATGCAATTAGTACAACATAGAAAGTCTTCTCTAAGCTATTGTGAATATACTGTATTTCCTTGCTGAATTTAAGGTAGTGGAGCTATTTATGTTCAGAGCCAGGACAATTATATCCTTTTTTTTTTCTTCATTTGGGACCTCTTGACTGGGATCTGGCCCCTATCCAGTCTGTCACCAACTCAGATGGAAGAGATTTACCAGGCTTTCCTTTTTTTACTGTTGAGATGCTTCTCTTCATGCAGTCTTCTTACTGAGCACCCTTTTTTGCAATTTTCTGATTCTGCCCTACCACGATTTCTCTAGTTTTATAGTTTCTTCAAATTTTACTTTAGATAAAATCTATTGGTAGGGGAAATATTAAAAAGCAAGCTACACATCTCTAAAAGTAGAAGCCAGGATTGATGCACGTGAAGAGAGAGGGAATACGCTGCAGAGCAGGGAAGAGGAAGCAGCTCGAGGGCTGTTTCTGAGGAAGGGCACCCCGTGCAGTGGGGTGAAGACCGGGGGAAGGGTTTCCTCTCAGGCCCCTCGAGGGTCGGCCGAGCAGCGCAGCGTGGACAGGTCGGAGTGCACGGATGCAGGCCGGCGGAGGGTGGGGGCCAAAAAACGGCAGGACGGAAGTGCCCGGTGTCACCGAGAGGCGCACAACGCCGCCCAAAGCGGCAAAAACAGCGCCCTAGACGAGGCAGAGCGGCTTCTTCCCCAACCGTTGTGTGGAGACCGCCTTCGTCCACACGGGAGGCGGGCAGAAGTCGCGGGGAGGAAAAGTTTGCCGAGACTGCGAGGATTTCCCCTCAGAACTCTCGTTCGGGAAAACCAACAAGCGCCCGGCCCCCCGCGTCTCTGTTGGGCTCCGCAGACGGCAGGCTGGGCAGTGCCTAGCTAGATAATAGCCCAGTCGGCCGAAGGAGGGGAAGGGATGGGGGGAGCTGCACTGCCTACTCCTGCTGGCGGGGAAAGCCACGAAGGCGCTTGGCGTCCAGGGGCTTCGAATGGGCGGATTGCGGCGGCCTGGCGGTGGTGGTACCAGAGGAGGAGGAGGAACCTAGTCCTTCCAGCTGGTTACACAACGGCAAGAGAACAGACCTCGGTCTTTACCACCGCCCGCAATTACACGTATTGTAATGCGATAAGTAACGAAAGGGGCCCAAGTCCAGAAAGTTCTGTGGCGTAGCCCCGGGCTCTCCGAAGCAAAGCCAACTGGGCAAGCGCAAAACAGACACGGGAGCAAAAAAGGGCTCGGCGGGGGGCAACAGAAAGGAAGGAGACACGGGCAGCGGGCACGTGACAGCCGGCAGGCGAGTAGGAGGAGGAGGCGCGCGGGCAGGCTCCGCGCCTGCGCCAGTTGAGGCGCGCCGACGACGTCACATGGGTGCGTGCGCACGTTCTCTCCACAGGGTAACACACGATTTGACTGAATGTAGGCGGGGGGGGGGGGGGGGCCTGTCGCCTCACGAGCTCAC